CTCATCTGTAGTGTTAATAAGTTGTCAAAACAAAAGTAGCAATCATAATAACCAATATTATAACATCCTGGGTTTTTTTCCCCCATACACCCACTTGGACCTCTTCTCATTCACCTATAACCCCTTGCTGAACTTTGAACCTATTGCTCTGATGTTCTAATCAATGACTGGGTTATTACTCATGTTATTCAAGTCAAGCAGAAATTATTTAAACCCTCTTATCAATGTCCTCGGTGTCTATCCAGTTTAAACCCCTCTTTCTGGCTGCTCTCAGCCAAAATTTTCACTTTTATAACACTCTCCATGTGTCCTGCACCTGCTGGAAAATGTATTAATAAACACATCTATCTAAAACACAATGAGGGATGACACTCTGCCAGACTGTCCAGGACAAAATATTAACACCTGAATGAGAAAATAATCAACCAATAGCAAAGTCATGATTCTTCTTAACTGGGTTTCATTTTCTGCAAAAGTAAAAACACCCATCCTGCCTCTCTTAGCGCCTTTCAACCTACAGTCTCTCAGCTTCATTCCAATTCTTCCCATTAATTAATAGGCCATTAATTAGCCCATCAATGACCTCTCGAGCAGACACAGTGTTGGTGGGAGTAGTTTCAACACATCTGCTGAAAGTTTCAACACAAACAAGCAAATTTCAATTCAGTTTATTTATATGGCACTAATTCACAACACATGACATCTCAAGGCACTTAACAGAGACAATTCAACCAGTCGGCCTCGCAAGTTTAGATAAACTGCTTGGGAAAGCATAAACCCCTAACAGGCAGGTATTATTAGGGTTTAACAAGCACATACATGAGTATTAAGAAATAATCCTATTAGCATATGCTATATCAAAGCTTAGAAACCTAATAAATGGATTTTGGAATAGCAATATTATATAAATTACACTTGGTTGATCTGCATTTTTATTTCCAGTTTATGCTTCTTCTCATTTGGACTGTTTAAGGAGAAAGAAATACTGTCACAAAAAACTTAAAGTGTGACCTGGGAAGTCAGTTTCATATCCATATTTTCTATTATCTTGTGTTTGAGAAAGCAGTCAGCATTAAGTTGTTTTTTTTGTTGCAACCTTTATGTAATACTAAACTATTACCTCTAGATGTCAGTGTGGTTCTAGGTACTTTCTATTTTCAATGCTGTCTTACTAAGCAATGTGGGGAAGAATATAGAAAAATCTATATTGAAAACTACATTGAAACCAGTGTTTGTGACCTATCATCTAATGTGACATACAGTAAGCACCTAGTGTTGCAGAGTCTCCTCACCAACCTGCTAATTACAGTACTAACCGTAACATCTTAGGATATATATTTAAACCTAATGCCACAAAGCTAATATCTAAACCTAAAGCCCCCAAAGTCATACCTAAACCTAAAGAAGTCTATGGTGATATACATGTAGCACAATGGGCCAAAGAATATTTTGTGGCACTAATTAATTGTGTGCAAAATGATTAAAACCCTATGGTATATTTCCGATTTTAATGCTGTGATGTGCAGTTTTTACAGAAAAAAAAAAAACCCTCACTCTTTTAACAGTCTGGTTACACCTGCAACTATAAATCAATGTTTAAACAATTGTAATTATAGAATTTTTTCCAGTTCCTAGGATAAATTGTAATGATTACAATTGATTGTTGGCATACTAGAAGCAGAGCAAAGCTCACATAATTTGGATTAGAAAAATTGAACTTTAAAACTAAGCCTTCATCTTTAAAGTGTAGCATAGTCCATTCAATTGGTTTCACTACCTTTATAGCATTGCACAGCTATAGTTAGCTGATAACACCTCCTGTACCTGTTTTGTACCGGTTTTTATCCGAGTTTGATTGGAAAACCTCACTGTGTTCCAGAAACAGGAGTTTTACTGACCTCAGTTGCTCTCAAACATCTGTATTTTAGCCTTATTGCAGCTGATTGGTCTTCCTCACGGGGAATTAATCTCTTTTGATTGCCATTTTTGAACTATAGATGTGTTTTTGTTTCTTTTTTTTGATGCACATTTTAGCAAATTTTTAAACTTTTGGCAGGATGTCATTCATTTTTTTAGGTGAGCAGCTATGGGGAAGCAAAGGGTCAGTTTATATTGATTTTGTCAATTTCAAAAATATAAAACGTTTGTGTTGATGATATTAAAACCCTTTTAACAACCATGCAATATACCTTGTCTATAGTAAAAATGTTTAATGTTTTTTTTTTCTCTGTAGGACTTTTAAACTCCCAGACCAGTTTATCTGAAACTAAGAGACATTTCATGTTCAAATTCACTTCAATCTAGATTGTTCCCCATTCCGATGCTTCATTTAATTACTTGTTTTTACCTGCTTGAATGCATGGAGTTGCTCTGTGTCACTGACAGCAAAAATAAATTCAGCCAAAAAGGTGAACGGGGGCTGTTTTACAAAAGCAGAATGCAGAAATGAATTGAGTGCATCCTGGCTTTATCTTTGAAGGCAATGCACACTGAGGATGTGTGACTACAGTATGTCAAGCCAGGTGTAAGTAAAGTAAGGGTTCGCCACACTTCACAGCAGATGAGCCAGATTTTGTGTTGGAGGATACGAGGAATAAAAATTAAAAAAATGGAAACACTAAAGATGTCCTAATTATAACAGTAACAGAGGTTTTTTCTCATTTGCTGAAATTGTACTTGAAAGTTAATGGTGGAAGTTGATATTGTAACGGGTTAGCCTGATTCCCGGTTAAATTATATTGATATTTATACAGAGCAAAGATAACAAGACCAAAGAGGACCTGGCAAGAGGCCAAGATTAAATATAAAGAAAATTTGCAGAATGGTAGTATCTAAATAATATATTGCTTATAATGGAGAAACGACTTACACTACTTACTGAAAAGGTGCCTGCCCTCATATGTCCTTGTCTGGCACTGGTGGGCCAGCAGAAGACCTGGCCCTTGATAAAAAAATAGAGGAGGCCTGATTGAAAATGAATGCATGGGAGTTCTAGAGTCATGAGTCTGAGACCGATCACTTTCCCTCAATGTTGCTGAAGATGCAGTCATCATCACAGCTCATCTGAAGCAAGAAGTTGCATTTAAGTAATAAAATGTCCATATTAAATGTATGCTGGTGACAGTAGGCTGAATAATAGCACTGTCTTACCTCAAACAAAACTATGAAGCAATTTTCTATTAATAAAATCCTTTCTATATGGTCCAGCAGGGCGATTTATCTTAATGTGTGCAGTCGAGCACACCAATAACATTAAGGAATACTGTATTAAAATTTTTTTTTTTAAGTTCTTTTTGTTCTTCAAGTGGTTAATTATTCTGTGGCTGAATTTCAGGAACCAGCAGTCTGCACAGGTAACAGATGCGATACAAAGAAAAGTGGTAACAAGCTACATACAGCATAAGGTCGGCCTTTATTGGAAACTTTTTCTACAGCTTAATTTAACTTACCCCTTTTATTAGTCTAAAATACATTTTTTAAGCACTGAGTGAAGATACAAAATTTATGAAACGCTTTGGGAGGGCATAGTTGTTATTTACTTCCTCTTTGCTGCATGACAAGAATGCAGCTGACCAGGTGCAGCTAAACATGCACGTGTCTATGTGGCCTTTATACATTTTTACAAGCATGCTCCACCTACTTATCTTTGACTCTCAACATAGCTGCTCCTTGGTTTGTATCTTTAAATAACATTGGGAGACAATCAAAATCTGAAGTGTCAGTAATCCTCTAGCAGATGCATGAAACTGTGGTTAGTTAGAATGCAGGCGGTTCTGTTGTGTTTTAACGAGAAAATATTTGAAACACTTTCATCACAAAGAGGTGTCATTTTCCAGGTTTTCAGTCTCCAATTGTTACCTTTGAGAATAAATCATCCAGCAGCACAGAAGAAATAAATACTCAATGTGTCTGGATTAGGATTAAAGTAGAGCAGTAGTTTGTGTTTACACAAGCTGTCAAAGTCAGTCAGAATATTATGTTTTTTAATGAGCTAAAATACACTTTATTATCTTTATTATCTTAAACTGAAATATCTTCTTTGAAGATTAAAATAAAATCTTTTCCTTTTTAGATGTTTAAAAATTTGGTCTGTTTAAAACTCTATATGGGAGTAAATAATTTGATTTATTCAACAATTCTGATTAAAGCCAGTGCAACTATTATAGTTTTTTATTATTTCTCTAAGACTGGAACTCTAAAATTATTCATATATATATATATATATATATATATATATATATATATATATATATATATATATATATATATATATATATATATATAAACCTTTAATGTCACTTTCATCCAATGCTAAAATAGTATGGTAAAATAAATATATTCTACTCTGTAGTACAGCTACAGTATATATTGCAACCTTTATCACAATGAAGCTGGTGTGAAAATAACAATCTGTGTGTTTGCTTTTTTCTTCTTACAAGATGTTTTACTTTATAACAAAACTACAGCAGCGACCGAACAATGCTCAATTTCTCTGTAAAAGACTAAAGATGTGCTATAATGAAAGAAAAACAATTTGAGCATGTTGACTAATTTTCAAAATGAGCATTTAGAGATTAATTTAGCTATGGATTTGCAGCATGTTGTGTCATTTTAATAGGTTGAATCATCTTTTATTTCTAGTTGGATTTTTCCTTTAGCCTTTAGCTGATTATTCATTCAGTGCATGGCTTTCATTTTCAAGATACTGTGTGCATAACGGGCTCTGTGAATCATGCCTTTTTCTTCATTGATATATGCTTACTAAAAAGTAAAATGAAGGCAGAAAAACAATAATACAATTTTCAATGTTATAAAGCATTGCAAATATCAATTTACCTGGGCCCTTCTCTATCTGCTGTTGCTCGTCATGCTCCAAACAACAGGTGTGGCCTAAAAGAGGAGGCATTAGGACCCAGGGTGTTCCATGCTCTAATTTAAAGTCACCAATCCTTCCGTCACTGTATGAATGTCACTGTGGAGGATAGAGCAACTGCCTGCTGGATCTTTACTCTGCTCTCTGATTTCCTTTTTTTTTCTTCTTTTTTTTGGGTATGGCTTTTAAAATATCCAAGATGTTGTAGGATCTAGAAGCAGATGGATAACTTGTACACATTACCTTCCGGAAAAGCAACTGGAGTTCATCTAGAACCACTGCAACAGCTTTAGAAGATAGTTTTCTCCTCAAGTTTCTTAGAATTTTCTTTACTTGAAGTGGACAGAAGCTATACACTGTGTTGACTACTTTATAATTCACATTTGGTCTTTTACTTGCTCAGCAGTCACTCTTGTCTGTCACTATCAGGATATCCCCTTCCCTCTTTCTAGGGTTTCATAATGCTTTAGGATCTCTGTGAGGTCGGACTCTCTTTCAGAAGCAGGGCTGAATTTCACCCCTCTTTTAAAAGAGTAAAGCGTAATAAAGGCTGCTTTATCATGAGTTAGTACTGCAAGTTTGTAGAGATGATGGGAGGTCACAGGTCAGACAGAACTTGGAAGTAGGTTTAATTTAGATTTGGTATATAAAGCTTTAATATTTAAGGCTTACCTTATGAGTTTTGTTTGGACGTAAGGAACGTAATCATGGGAAATGCAGCTGGAAGCTCTGAGATTTCCCAGGGAAGGGATATTAAGGAGACCACAATAACCAGCCCTGAGTGTACCGGGCCTCAGAAGCAAACAGCAGGACCCAAGCTTCCGATGCCCCCTGATAAGGAGCTGGAAGAACGCTTCAGTGCTGCACTGGTGAGTCCTGAAGGGAATAACTTGGTCTAGCATATCAACAGCACAAGGTAGCAAAACATGTGGAGTATGTTTGCAATGTGCACAGCAGAACAATCTTATCACTGTGCCACCAACACAATACATCTGTGAAAAGACACATAAAAGCTTCTTTTTCCTGCAATGATTGCAGTTTTAATCTCTTCTCAGGATTAGTATTAATGTCCAGTTCTAGTCAAATTGAGCTTCACCTTAACATATAGTTTTTTTATTAACCGTAGAATATTTTGATTGTAAGTATTGAATCAACACTTATTATCACTATCGCATTAGCTAGATTTTTATTTTCCAGGTATTGGCCTATTTTCGTTAGACAGAATGCTTAACACAAAGCTTAATTGCTGGCCATTTGAAAAGCTTAAAATTATGGAGTTTCTTTAACCCACAAGTAGTCAAATTTCAAGATACGTCCCCACTAATCTTTTGTTTAATGTCACTTTAAAGTTTATACCAGCCGCATTTTGCAGTAAAATTTCTTAGTTTGGTCAATGTTGGGATTTTGGAAATTCTGTTCCTTCTAAAAGCTTGGGTTTATCTTAGAATATTTTAGACCATTATCTATTGGATAAATGCAGTGTGTCCAAGTGTCTGTCATTTGGCAGTTTATTTAAGGTGCAATGAAACAATTTGGAAGTAGCAATTCTCTTATATAAAGGTATAATTTTGTCATAAACCCAGGACAGGGCAGCCAGTATTCAAGGTGGGACAGCCAGTAGGAAAGTTCAAAGCATTTATTAAAACAAAAACATAACAGAAACAAAGCGTGCTGCTGTAGATCCGGCGGCTGCAGGAGGGAGGTTGCGGCTGGTTATGGGAGAAACACAGGTAAGTGACCACTATCATCTGAACAGAAGATGATAATTAGAGTGAGTTACTTACCTGGTTAAACAGTACAGTCCACTCAGATCTGGGTTCCAGGAATTCATAAAAGTGCGAAGGCCGGTTCAGAGTCCTGTGCGTCGAGCGTCCAGCTCAGACAAAAACGCAGAGACAGAATCCAGCATGAGTCCAACAGAGGTTCAGGCAGGCAGATCAGGCAGGGACAGACAGGGCCAGTGGGTGAGAGGGAACGGATTCAGGAAAACAGAATCACTCGGGAAATGCTGAAACGCTCTCACCACTGGTAAGGGATAAATCTAGCCTGAAGACATGGGCTCAAAAATAATCTCCTACTAGAAATACGTACATGAGCCTTGGAAATAACTAAAACTGACAGACAGGACACTAACAGAAGGTAAACAAGGAACCAACAGAAAGACAACAGTATCTCCCCATGATAGCTGGAACTGAAGACAATATAAGGGAAACCGGCAGGTGGATGAGATCAGAGATAATTGGGAGCTGGAGAGGAGGTGAAAGACATGAGTAATTTATGTGAGCTATCAGGGCAGATCATGACACTTATTTTGGAAATGCATCAGGGCAACTGGCACCCAAACATCCGATTATGATTGGAACACTCTCATGCTTATCACCTGGTCGGGTGTTTCTATATATTTTTAAAATCCACCCCTTGCCATCCTGCAGTCTTCATATTCTATCTACACCCATCTCCTCCACATAGATTTGACTCAGCTTGTCTTAACTCCCAATATAAAGCAGTTTAATAGAATTTTAAACACCAAACCTCAAGCGGATCTTGTCCCTGCTTTTTGTAGATGACCTGGTTCTGTTAGCTACGTCCTGCCAAGACCTACAGCATGTGAGTTTGAAGTGGCTGGGATAAAAGTAATCTCCTCCTAGTCCGAGGCCATAGTTCACAACCAGAAAAAAGTGGCTTCTCCCCTTCAGGTTGGAGGCTCCTGCCCTAAGCTCAGGAGTTCAAGAATTTTGGGGTTCTGTTCATAAGTGAATAGAGCAGGAGAAAAATAGACAGATCTCTTTAGCTGTTGCTATAATGTGGACACTGCACTGGTTTATTGTGGTGAAGAAAGAACTGAGCAAAAGGCTCTCAATTTACCTCTCGGTCTACATTAATACCCTCAGCTATGATCATGAAATCTGGATCATGACCGAAAGAACAAGATCCAGCATACAATCTTAACTTTTTAACAGCTTTGACCAGCAATAATTTCTCCAGAGCTATTGGCTTGCTTGTGGACAGCTGCAACTTTGAGGAAAGCTTTAAATGTTAATTTTGGTGAAGAAACTTCTTTTCATGGTGGGCAACCCCTGTAGTCCATGGTGAAACGCACACACCTGAAGACAGCAACAGTGGGGTTAAAGCAGTTTCCATGTTAGGGCAGGTATGAGAATTGATTATTCTCGGACATCCATGCAACGCTTACTTTTTGGACTTTAAAAAAAAAAATGAAGCATGAGACATCTGAACTGATACAACTGAACTGTAACTTGTTACTTGGAAGCGTTTGAAGCAATTAAACTGGAATCTGAAGAAAAAAAACTAAAATAATTTCTGAATCTGCCTAAATCTACCAATTACCCCCTTAGATTGGGCCATAATTGCTTTGGTATTTGCCAGTGAGTCCTGTCAAAGATATTCTTTGTTTTTGCAAAAATATCACCAGCTGTTTCTTATCAAACCTTGGCCTTGGTCATCTTCACCATCTTGTAGACAAATTAGGTCCAAGCTGTATTATTTTGGTTCTTTTTGGGTTGGAGAAAAGGCACAATAGATGTTAGAATGAAAATTAATCTGTTTAATTTCACTAGATTTCATACAGCTATTACATTTTAAGATAGAAGTAATAAGAAATACATGGGCAATAATGATTTTTTTATTTTATTTTCTCACCTGTGTTTTAAAATATTGTGTATGACATTTTGCTCAAGCTTAATTTCAAACTGAAATTTTCAGCAGTATATGCTTACAGTGGTTTCAAGTAAGTTGTATCCATTGTGAGCATTATAGTAAGAATATAGTTATAGTAAAGGGTTGGAATGTGCAAGATTAATTATCATCCCTTTTCTTATTATTTTTTTGCCTCAATCTCCACACATTTGTTTGATCCACTCTCTGGAAAGTTCTGTCAGTTTGGGGAACTAACAGGTCAACATGGATATCACCACACTTCGACCAAGAAGCTCTAACACTTATTAAGACTTTAGAAAGCCAAGTGGGATAACTGTTTTAGGCATAACTGGGAAAAAAAATGCTCTTTATGGCTCATATAGTCCATTTGCTGAACTACTCTCCTGGAACTGTTTGGCTTTTGCCCCAGAAGAGGCTATTATATCATGCCAAAAAAAATTAACTGAAAATTTCCGAATCAGCTTCTCAAAAGTCATGTTTTGTTCTAGTTTTTTTTTTTTTTTCTCTTTGACTGAGATTGTGATTTACAAAATGTAGGTTGGTAAACAGGCTGGACTCCATAGTGATCGTGAAGAAAACAGTATAAAAGGAAGACTCAGATCTGAGTCGAGGCAAGGAAACTATGTTGAGAATGCAGCCAGACGACTTGCTGGGTTGTTATCCACATTCCTCTTCTCATTGTCAGTCTTATCTCAGAAGCTGGTGCTGATGTTGACGTGACATATATATTATTTAAGCTTGCAGGCTGTTGGTAAACGGCTGGATATAAACTTCTTTCTACCAGAAGAACAGATATGCTTCTAAAGGTTTAACATTCTTTCGGTTTAGATAATATAACATCTTCAGAAGAGCTGATGTAAAATGGGGCTAAAAGTAGGACCTGGAGTTTGTGCCTAAAATTTAAATTGTGTTTTTTTTTTTCTTTTGGCCAAAATTGAGATTATGATATTATTTAAATTTTCCTCTGCACCAACCACAAGCATGTACAGTACATGCTCAGCTCCAGGGTTTCATTGTTTTCACTGCTTTGAATGGAGACAAAGTTGCACATAATTTAACAAATGCGCTGAAGTATTTACTAGCTCGCATGCAAAGATTTCCATGCTAGCTGCAACTCTGTGGGAGGAAACCAACCTAAAAATATTGCCGCTACCTGAAGGCTGGGATAAAACATAATATCTTATTCTTGTTAATATAATGTGACTAACAATTATATTGCAAATCTTTTAATCGGTCAATTATTTTTTGGATTAATATTTTGATAGCTCCATGTAAGACTTTCAACGGAATTAAACCAGGTGAAACTAGAACTTTTCCACTTGAGTTTTGCTGAGAGCTTATTGATAGATGTTTTTTTTTTATTTAAATGCGAAATGTTTACATATTATTTTCACAATTTCAGTATTATTACTGCTCTAAGTGGGTCTCTCTGTCAGCTAAAGACACGTTCCAGGGGCCGTATACTCCTGTTAAGAATTAATCAATTATTAAATCTGTTGACAATTATTTCAATAATTGATTTATATACGATTAATCATTTTTAAGCCCTAAATTTTGCTATAAATAAAAAAAAATGCTTTTTTTTTAAATCATGATTATATTGCAAGTGCAAACAATTCTGGTCATATAGTCTTTAAATTGTAGGTTCTTGCTGCATGAAGAATTACCATGGGGGAAATGGAAAAACGGCACAAAGGCATGCGGGCCATTAAGGTTATGGGCTTGATGATTCTTTAATTTTGGTTTCACATAAAGCAGATGGTCAAAATAAAACTGAAGGTAAAACTTGGTTTCATTTTTCTTATCAACTCCTGTTTATCTTTTGAGACTTAGACAGACTTTTTGTGTCACTGCGTTACTATGCTGTTTGGAACACGTGCGATTCTCTTGCTAAATATCTCTTGCTCTTTATCCATTCATCACTGTGTCTATCCTTTTTACAGGAAGTTACTTCCTGTGTAAAGTATATACAGAAGAGAATTTCAAAACTTAAGAAAACTTCAATTTTATATTTAGAAATTAGTTAAAAGTCATGAGATTCTTTATATGTAGAATGTATAGGAATCTTGACCTGATCATCTTGGTGGAATATATAGTGTTTATATTGGAGCTTAAATTGCTGGTATACATTGTGATTTTTAGCTGTTTAGTTGTGTCCTGTTGCTGCATTTTAAGCATACTAAGCAGATGA